GGGAATTACTGATTAAGTTTGGTTTGGGGAAATTTTGGATTAAAAAAGGAATGTGTTAAAAATAGAGCAATTGGTGTAGCTCAGTACTAGTTGACCTCCCGAGTGCTCCTAGGAGAATTATTAAACAAATATGTTTGCTACTTCTCCTGGTGCACACTGTGTAGAGTTAGAAGCAGATCCTTCACTGTTATGGTAGCCTGAAATTCAGAGTATCTGTCCTTGTAATTTGCTGATAGTTGGGAGAGTAAGATGATAGTTAACAATGGTGTGTATAGTGAAACCTCTTTGTTCTGCTTTATGTCTATATAAGTAGACACATATTACTACTTAATATATGTAATTATATATTAATTACAGATTAATATATCATTGTATAACGTGTATAATTATATTAATTATATTTAATTATATATAATTAATATATTATAATATTTGTGGGACCTATATAAGTTGTGTTTGAGGATACTTGCCTGAGTTTCCAAGGTGAATTTTGTATTTTCCACACAACCTATAAATACATTAGGCTAGCATCCAAATGGGTATGCCTTTGAAATTAAATCTTACACAGTGTTAACATCTATTTCATATATAGATATCTCATCAAGAAACTCATGATTAATTTCTTTTAGTTAACCTCAGAGTTTTCTACAGAGCATGTATTTCAAGATTAAAACCCCTTTGAACCAGACATCCCCAAAGGACACAGTTGACCAAATTACTGTGCTAGAAGTAAGGTTTCCTGGAGATATTAGCCATATTTTCATATTCAATGGAACAATTTAAGTGAGATTTACATGATGTAGTAATAATTAATTAGGCATTGGTTATTTAGTGGGCAGGCTGTTCATGCAACTGTAATTCCAGAATTTTCTAGCTGAATTTTCCAGTACCTACTTGGAAAAACTTAAGAAATTAGACCAGTTTACCCCAAAAATCATCTATCATGACAAATCACAGTTACTTGCTCAAATAAATCTATCAGCTATCATTTCATTTCATTTCATTTCATTTCATCATCCTGATATTCGTCGATTGCCTCGAGCAGGCCCCAGTAACGTCTCTTTCATCCTAGCCCTGAGATTATATTCAAGGCTCTTTAGGAGAATGAGACCCATCATTGTTACTGGTATTTGGCATATTTGGTACGCCACGGGGAGTTTGCCAGACTCTGCCCTGTGGGCAGGCTACATTTGATAGCCTGCAAGTTTGTCCAAAGTAGGAATGAGACAATAAGATGTCATAAATGACAATATGATGTCAGCTATCATATTTCAATTATGGTTACTGCTATTGTTTCTACCTATGTTGGTAAATTATTATCGAAGACTTCAAGAGACGTTTTGTTATACAAGAACTTTGTCCTGTACAGCTCAGTTTATAATTATTTCCTCAATTATTAGTATATCTATCACTTAATCACTTAACTTCCCGTTAGTTGTCGATTTGCTCGAGCGGGCGCCAGTAACGTCTCCATTCGTCCCTGTCGCGTACTAGTGTAGCCCAATGGCATCTGTTCGCTCCGGGAACATGAAGGGCCTCAAACCAATCGTTCATGATCTTGACGAAGAAGTCTGACCATCTGGAAGGTGGGCGGCCACGCGGTCTTTTGACATCCCATGGAATCCAGTCGGTAACAGCTCTAGTCCAGCGGTCATCTTTAAATCTCATTACGTGACCAGCCCATCTGATTTTCAACATCTTGGCAAATGAGACAGCGTCCCTGATTCTTGATTGTCGACGGATGTCAGAACTCCGGATTCGTTCTCTCATTTGAGTGAAACGTGATATTCCAAGCATAGCTCTTTCTATTCTTCTTTGGGAGACCTGAATAGCGTTCTCATCTTGTTTGCTTAGGGCCCAGGTCTCTGAGGCATATGTTAATGCAGGAGGAACAGTGGAATCAAAGAGATGTGCCCGGAGCCGGAGGTTCTTCGTCCTCTTAGCTATTTCTTCGACGTTCTTGAAGGCGTTCCAAGCCGCTCTCTTCCTCCTGCGCAGCTCGGGTGCCAGGTCATTTGTCATGTTGACTTCTCGACCTAGGTACACACAGCTGTTGCATTCGGAGATGGTCGTTCCGTTGAGAGTGAATGGGGCATCAGGAACGAGGTTGTTTCTCATAAACATTGTCTTCATAAGATTCAGCTGTAGTCCTACCTTTCCACACTCACGGTCAAAGTCGGCCAGCATTTGTGCCGCTTGGCTGATGTTTGGTGTTATTAAAACAATGTCATCAGCAAAGCGGAGGTGGTGTAGTTGCCGACCATCTATCTTCACTCCCATTCCTTCCCATTCCAGTCGTCGCATGATGTTCTCGAGGGTGGCACTGAAGAGTTTCGGTGAAATGGTATCACCCTGCCACACCCCTCTCTTGACATCAACGATCACTTCTTTGTAGAATGGTGAGATCCTGGTAGTGAATCCGCAATACAGCTCACAGAGGATCTTGATGTATTGGGCTTGAATGCCCTGATTGGCTAGGGCTTCAATAACTGCTTCTGTCTCAACAGAATCAAAGGCCTTCTTTAAATCAATGAACGTTAGACAGAGCGGCATCTTGAACTCCTGAGAAACCTCAATGAGCTTGGTTATCATGTGGATATGGTCGATGGTGCTGAATCCTTTGTGGAACCCGGCTTGCTCGCATGGTTGTCCTTCATCTAGTGTTCTGCCAATCCGATTTAGAATGACTCAAGTGAACAACTTGTAGATGACAGACAATAGGCAGATCGGGCGATAGTTGCCAATGTCATGATGTCTCCCTTCTTGAACAGTAGTATGGTCCTGCTGGTTTTCCATTGGGACGGAACCTTGCATTCAGACAGGTAGCAAGTGAAGAGCCGAGTGTATTGATGAGTACTGACGGCAGGTTCTTGAGGTGTTCAGGTCTGACCTTGTCTGGGCCGGGTGCTGTTTGTTTCTTTACCGACGAAATGGCATGTCGGATTTCGGAAGGGAGAACGTTGGGAACGACATATCCATCCTGTGGAATTTGGTATGTCGGCAAGTGGACATGGCTATCGAAGAGATTTGAGTAGAAGTCATGGATAATCTTCTCCATTGCCGTTCTGGAGGATGTGATGGATCCATCAGGACGTCGGAGGGCAGTCATCTTGGTCTTGTAGTTGGCGAAGGACAGGCGGGCGTTACGAATACTTTTCCCGGCTTCTGCCACATCTACCAGCACTTCTGCTCTTCTCTCTTTGAGGTCTTCCTTGATCGCATCTCTGCACTGCTTTGCGAGCTCGGACGTTAGCTTGCGGTTGCCTGAGGCATGCGCCAAACCACGCTGGCGAATTAGCTCAAGAGTTTTCGAAGACAGGTGATTTTTTGTGGCTATCTCTCTCTTGGCGTTCCTCGCACATTCATGGAGGTGCTGAACCAGTCGATCATATTCCTCGTCAATGTTGTCAACAATGGCATCTTCCCATGTTGCCGCAATAGTGCCAAAGAGTTCCCAGTTGGTGGTCATTCTGGGAGTTCTCTTTTTGAACTTTGCAGCCCTTTCTCCCCACTCTGTGAGGTAGAATTTTGCACGAAGGAGACGGTGGTCCGATCCCGTTCGAAATTTTGGGACAACAGCGACATCAGTCAGGCAAAACCGTCGATTGAATATGATGTGGTCTATTTCGTTGTGGAATTGTCCACCGGGAGACTCCCATGTCCAAAGTTTAGATTCTGCCTTCTGGAACTGTGAGTTACCATGGATGGTCTTGGTCGACATGATGAACTCAGACAGTCTCTCACCCTGTTCGTTCCATTCTAGGCCATGGGTCCCGTTGTGAAGTTCTTCAGCTGATCTTCTCGGTCCTATCTTGGCATTAAAATCACCCACAATGATCTTGTAGAAGGTGTGGTCTTCTTTATAGAACTTCTCCAGCTCCATGTAGAACTTCTCGATTTCTCTTTCATCATAATGAGATGTTGGTGCATAGACAACGAAGATAGAAACTGCAGGCAGTGAGCCACATCTATTCAAATGTAAACGTCCGATTCGGGTTGTTAGGCATTCGAATGAATCAATGCTCTTGGCCAAGTTTGTGTTGACAAGGACACCGACGCCTCCCACACCTCTTTTATCGCATGTTCGGAGGAACAATTCTTCTCCAGTGTCGAAAACGGCATGGTGAGATTCGTGCCTTCTTGTCTCGGTCAGACCAATGATGTCGTACTTGATCATTCGCGCTTGTACCATCAGGTCCTCGATGGATGCATCTGATGCTAGCGTACGTGCATTGAAAGTACAGACAATCACTTTTGTCTTCCTTCGTTGTGGCAGCCTAGTTCGGCCTTGAGATTTTATCGGCCTCTCCTTTCTCATCCTTCTCAGTGCTGCCATGTCGGTGAAGCCTTCAGGGTCAGGTGAATGAGACCAGTTGTAGTTACTGCTTTTGGCATATCAAATACACAGCGGATAGCTTGCCAGGCTCTTCCGTGCGGGCGGAATACTCTCGGTAGCTTGCCAGTCTTTCCGAGAGGGACAGAGGCTTTTGGGGCGACCTCTAATCACCCTTGTAGGTGTTACCATATTTGAACCCTATCAAATATGGTACGTCAATTCCAGAAGATGGGTATTTAGTGTCTTATGATGTGTACGGCAATTCCGGAAGATGGGTATTTAGTGTCTTATGATGTGTTGCGGCCGCGCGGATCTGGAAAGCATCCTGGAGTGTGGCGGCGGCTGGGTAGTGGAGGTAGTGTCGATAGTGGAAGTCTGCCAGTGGGGTATTTATCTGGGTAGGGTGGATCTTCTGTGCGCAATCCGATCCCTGGGTGGTTGATGGAAGCAGACAGGGCAGGGTAGGATGGGGCTCCTGATTAGAATCCCTTTGTCACCTGTGGTTGGTGGGAGCAAGCAGAGAAACTCTGTCCCTGGGTCCACCGAGCCTGGAGTCCAAGGTCTCAGAGAGTTCCACTTATCTTGTTCTGTGGGTCTTCAGTCGTGCGTGAGTCTCGGCCGGAGCTACCACGCGGGTCCAGAAAGCATCCTGGAGTGTGGCGGCAGTTTGACATGGGTTTGCTGCCACTGTCCTCCTTTGCCTTCCTTCCTTCTTCTACAGGCTTGAGATTCAACAATGGTGTTACTTCAGCATTGCCATAGCCAGCAAAGGTGATTGCAGCAGTGCCGTTTTCTTCATCTATCTCCTCAATCTCCGCTTGGTAACACCTGTAAAGATATCATGGTGTCCATCTTCACTCCAGATTGCCATACACTTGTCTCCTACTTTCCATGAATGAGTAGGCTGGATAGAAGCAAAACTGTCTGAACTTGTAAGAGTTCCAGAAGGTTGAGTTGACAGAAGGTCTTTCGTTAGTTCTATAACTTCTTGTAAATCTTTCTTTAGTTTGAGTAAATCTTCATTCTCTCCATTTCCAGACAATGCAGCTTCTACTTGTTGAAGTTGAGCTTTGTAGCTGGCTAGCTGTTTTGCTAGATCCTCTGACATCTTGTGCGGGGCTGGGGCGGCGGGAAGGGGGGGTCGGGGCCACTGAGCCCAGTGGGTGGCAGTGACGACGGCGACAGCGGCACCTGACAGCTCAGATGCGAAAACCAGGCGAGCCGGTCGGAAAAGGAAGGACTCGGTCAGCGGCGAGGGGAAGGGGAGGAAAAACTATATCTATATATATAAAAGCAATTTTTGAGATTTCTTTAAGTTTTTTGTTTTTTGTGTTAAGTGAATGTATTTTTAGTGGCTTTTTATAGAGCTAGGATATGGTTCAAAGAACTGAAGTGCATGCTTTGAATGCAAGGAGCCTAAGCTCAATCCCTAGCATCACATGGTCCCTCAAGCTGTTAGTGGGAATTTATCCCTGAGCATTGCCAGGTATGGCCCCCAAAACAAAAACAAATGAATAAAAAACCTCAAAAAATGGCCCTTTGGTGGGTTTATTGGTTTATATTGTTCCATTTTTAATGCTAAAAATGCCTTAGTTATCAGTAAATTTTTTTTACTAATTCAGTAAAAATTTATACAAGTTAGTAACTTAGAGCAATTTAGAATTAAATAATTTTTACAATAGTAAAGTGGGAGATGGATAGATTGTATAGGGGTTAAAGCTCTTGCCCTGCATAAAACTGACCCTGGTTCAATTTCCGACATTGCTTATGTACCCCAAGCACACAGTTGAGCATCCCCACATACCCACCCCACCATCAAAACAAAACAAAATCCAAAAAACAGTTTAGCTTTTTCCCTAGGATCTAGGGAAATTTGGGGGATATGGGGGGGGTTGTAGTGTACCTGCTTTCAAGGCTTTCTCTCAGCTCTGTACTCAGGGAACACTTCTAGTGGACTCAGGGTGCCGGGGATTCAACCCAGTTCTACCATTTGTAGGGCAAATGCCCTACTCACAATACTTTCTAGATCTGGCAATTTTTTTTTGGATCACACCTGGCTATGCACAGAGGTTATTCCTGGTTCTACACTCAGGAATTACTCCTCGAAGTGCTTGGGGGACCTTATGGAATGCAGGGAATCAAACCCAAGTTGGCTTCATGCAAGGCAAATGCCTTACCCGCTGTACTATAACACCAGCCTCAGATCTAGAAAATTTTTAAGGTGCCTCATTCTCTGAAAATATTCTTCCTTCAAGTTTGGGTTAGGTTTCCTAAACCAAAAAGAGTTAATAAAAAGGTTAATGTTGGCAAATAAAATGATAAACATCTACTAAAAATTGTCCATTACTTAAAGAAAAGTCTAAGAGTAGTAATTTCTTTTGTTAGGTAATAATGTTTTATGATTCTATCAGACTTGATGATAAATTTGTACAAGTATGAAAATAATGTACTGAGAAGAATATTACTACATTGTTCAGGTCAAGATCCAGAGGCTATAAATTGAAGCTCCCGGAAGAGAGCGATGCAGAATCTCTGACCCTGCACCAGGCTGTCTTCACTGGGGCACCTTGAAGGGGGGTGGTTTGAGTTTCCCTCCCCGCCCCAAGCAGAACTCTGGCAGCCATAACCTCCAAAACCCAGCCACAGCCATGCTCAAGGCCACTCTCCACATGCTTGGACGAGCCTCACCCATGAGGGAACCGAGGAACCCAGGTATGTGAGATCCGAGACTGAGATCTTCAAGCTTACTCGGATTAGGACTAGGCCTCCTCACCCAGCATGCCAGTTTTCCAGTAACTTGTCAGTCGCACCCACAAATTGCCCCCAGAGCCATGTAATCTCATCAACAGTCAAAATCCAGAGACTATAAAATGAAGCTCCCTGAAGAGAGCAATGTAGTACTTCCTGAAGCGCCTGTCTGCAAATACATTTGTAGCCATGTGACCTTTTATATTTTAGCCCACTGATGTACCTAAAATAGCACACATTTGTTTGGTTTTAACATACTTGCTTGTATTCTCTTATATACGGGCTTAAATGGCTCCAGAATGAAATACAACAACCTTCACACATTTCCCTCTTATTGTGGTAGGAAGATGCTCACTGGTGGGGTGGTATTTGAATATTATCTGTAATGAACTATTATGAACGTCTTTATGAAAATAAAATGTATAAAAATCGAAAAAAATGTTTCTTCTGTAAAAGAACTGATGGAAAAGTGCTTTTCATTAAAAAAGATAATTTTAACACAATATTTCTGGGACATTAAGTTGAAATATATTATGACAAATGTTCAAGTAATTGTCTTTTTCCTCTTTCCTGCTACATCTAGAAGACGGGGGGGAGGGGGACTCTTATCTGACAGAGCACAATTGGTAAGTGGCAAACATTTTTTTTATTAGTGAAACGCCATGAGGTAAATTTTTGTGCTTGGGTTTCAATTATACAATGATCAAATACCCATCCCTCCACCAGTGCCCATTTTCCACCACCACGGGTCCCAGTATCCCTCCCACCCCCCATCCTCCCCTCCCACCCTGCCTCTGTGGTAGGGCATTCTCTTTTGTTCTCTCTCTCCTTTTGAGTGTTGCGGTTTGCAAAAGAGGCATTGAGTGGCAATCATGCTTGGTCTATAGTCTACTTTCAGCATGCTTCTCCCATCCTGGGAGGATCCTCCCAACACCCTTTATTTGGTGTTCCCTTCTCTATCTGAGCTCCCTTTTCCCCTAGCATGTGTGGCTGGTCTCCAAGCCATGGAGCAAACCTCCTGGTACTAATCTCGGCCACTCTTGGGTGTTAGTCTCCTATTTTGTTCCTTTATGTTCCCCAGATGAATGCAATCTTTCTATGTCTATCCCTTTCTTTCTGACTCATTTCGCTTAACATGATACTTTCCATGTAGTACCACTTGTATGTAAATTTTATGACTTCATCTTTTCTAACAGCTACATAGTACTCCATTGTGTAAATGTACCAAAGTTTCTTTAACCAGTCATCTGTTCTCGGGCACTCAGTTTTTTTCCAGATTCTGGCTATTGTAAAGAGTGCTGCAATGAAAAAACAAGTGCAGATGTCACTTCGACTATACTTTTTTGCCTCTCTGGGATATATTCCCAGGAGTGATATTGCTGGGTCAAATGGGAGCTCAATTTCTAAGTTTTTGAGAATCATCCATACTGTTTTCCAAAAGGGCTGAACCAGTCAGCATTCCCACCAGCAGTGAAGGAGTGTCCCTTTCTTGCCACATCCACACCAGCACTGGTTGCTTTTGTTCTTTTGGATATGGGCCAGTCTCTGTGCTGTGAAATGATATCTCATTGTTGTTTTGATCTGCATCTCCCTGATGATTAATGATGTAGAGCATTTTCTCGTGTGCCTTTTAGCCATTCAGATTTCTTCTGTGAGAAAGTTTCTGTTCATATCGTCGCCCCATTTTTTGATGGGGTTGGATGTTTTCTTCTTGTGGAGTTCAACCAGTATTTTGTATATCCTTGATATCAATCCCTTGTCGGATGTGTATTCAGTGAATATCCTTTCCCATTCTGTAGACTGTCTTTATATTTTGGTCACTGTTTCTTTGGAGGTGCAGAAGCTTCATAGTTTAAGGTAGTCCCATTTATCTATCTCTGTTTTCACTTGCTTGGCCAGTGATGTGACTGATATCATCTTTGAAGATACCATTAGCTTCAATGTCATGGAGGGTTTTGCCAACTTTGTCTTCAATGAACCTTATGGATTCCAGTCTGATGTTGATGTCTTTAATCCATTTTGATCTTACTTTTGTACATGGCGTTAGACAGAGATCTGAGCCTACTTTTTTGCATGTAGCCATCCAGTTTTGCCAGCACAATTTGTTAAAGAGGCTTTCCTTGCTCCACTTCACTTTTCTTGCCCCCTTATCAAAGCATTTACTTATTCTTTCTATGAGAATTTTATCAGATGATAAATATGAAAGCATGTAGTAATCTCTTTTGTCTTTTAATTTTCATGAAAACAAATATGGAGATAACTGTGTGGATTATAAATGCGTTCCAAACACATGAAGTATAATTTTTCTTTTTATAAAGATCAGGCTAAATTTTATCTGTAAACAAACTGATAATACAGCAGTATTTTATGCAGCAGCTCTAATGCTATTTAAAATCAATACTTGGGCCAGAAAGATAATGTAGTCGGTGAGGCACTCGCTGTGAATATGGTTGATCTAGGTTCCACACTGTTTCCACATTCAAGTACCACCAGGAGTGGTTCCTGGGATAAGCACTAAAGTGTCTAGTTTCATCTCACTTGCTTATGTTAAGGCATTTAGCATAATATATTTTTAGGCTTTGGAATTTTAGGAATTTTGATCCAAATATTAGACTTTTTAAAGGAAGTAATCTTAAGGCATTCATTTCTCCATCACTGAAAAAATGGATATGACACCACAGGTATGACTGTGTCATAAGGAGAAAAACTTCAGTTAATACAATTAATCTAAGGTTCTTAGAAATAAGTACTTTTAGTCCTTTGTGTTATTATTGTCAGCCAGTTGTTTATATTAGCATACTTAAATTAGTGTACCAGGAGCTGTTACATTATAATCACTCTGGTCCTTTAATTTCATAACAAAATGTGTGAAGTGAAATGCTTATTCAGTGAGAGGCCTGGCTAAGAAATAACTGAAACTTTGTTTGGGAGGCTATATCTGGCAGTGCTAGGGACTACACTGGGCTCATTGCTTGGGGAATAATGCATCATTAGGGATCAGACCCAGAATGCCAAGCATCCACTCTAGCAATTTAAGGTTTCTCCTTGGCCCCAATTTAACATGTTTTAGACATTTTAAATTTAGATTTGTTGGGGCCAGAGCAATAGTACAGTGAGTAAGCGGCTGACCTAGGTTTGATCCCCAACACCACATATGGTCCTCCAAATTCACTGAAAAAAAATGTTCCCTGACCATAGAACCAGAAGTAAGCCCTGAACACTGTCAGGTGTGGCTCAAAAATCAACTCAAAAATTCTGTTTCATTGAGTATCTGTCTGTGCTTTGACAACTACCTGTTGGATTGTACTTTTGTATCAGGTAGTGTCCTAGGCACTGAGGATTTAATATTAGAAAAGAAAAATACAAATACTTCAGGTACTTATAGTATAGTAGATAACATAGATAATAATCCAAGTGTGTTATAAATGTTCCATTGCATATTGTGCTAATTTAGAGGAGAAAAGGTAAATCAGAGAAAGGAGCCCAATATAACTAAGC